ATGATCACCTAAAGCCCAGCCTGTATCATGGATCACTGCAAAAGCAAGCTTCCAGAAGTCCTTAAGTGTAGGACATCAGTCTTTGACGTTAGAGGGAAGTCTTATGTCTAGATCATATAAAGTCTTCCTACTATTTTAATCATCTTCCACATGGGCATCACCTCAGAATTTCACTAATTAAGTATTTTATGCCATGGCTATTAAGGAAGAAGAAGAGCCACAATGGTGACAGACTTCAGTTTTGGTTAAAGAAAGAAGTACAGTAAATTCTTCCCTGTGCAGCAATGTGGGCAGGAATTACACCTTGTAATGGAAAAAAGTGCTGCCAGTGCTGATGCTCTTAAGTGCAATGTAATTACATGAGTCCTTGTACATGGAGCTGCATGTAAAGAGTTCATGTATACAGTCATTAAAGATAGCTGAGTTCTGCAGTTTCCCCTCAGCTGTCTTTGTACTGTACCCCAAGTATTCCACCTTACAGCTCAATTACAGCAGTCTCCCTCTCTTCCCACTCTTAAGTTTAAAGCATGCAGGCAAATATGATGTAAGTGTTAGGAGAACATGCAGACCTATTCAATGCAACTGAAAAAATGGAAGTTGACATTTTTGCTCTCCTTGTGAAAGGGATAAGAAGGTGTGGGAGGAGTGGATGAGAAGAAAGTACACATGCTCTTAAGGCATGTAGTGGAACTATTTTTTTGTATTTTGTCTTAGAGGATCAACCCACGTGACGGAGTCATAATAGAAACTACAAGAAGAGATGGTAACACTTGCATTGCAACTAAATGTTGCAGGACAGGATAGTTTAGGAATGGCTACTGAGATACACCTATCGACAAGAATAAAGAATGTCTAATAATCATCAGATCTATGCTATATTTCCTACCAATTCTGGTGAAACAGGTCTTATTAGGGACACTACAATGAGATCTTTGAAAGAATTCATAGTTATGAGCAGATAACATGTAGCTAAGTATCTAGAGGAAAAAGATATCCATGTTTTCTCTCTGAGCAGAAGCACTCTCTTACTTTGTTTCA